CTTCCCCACAACGCAGGGCCTGGCGGGGGGTGGGGGGGGTGCGAACCTGGGTCGGCATCCACGGGGTCAGGGACCCAGTCCTCAGGCTCGCCAGAGTCATCCTCACTGTCCTGGCCAGTTCCCAGGCTCGCCGGGTCCGTCTTGGACAGCTCGACAGCCAAGTCCCCCGTGCCATCCGAGTCCCCCGTCAGCCCAGCCACGATCTGCCGCACCGTGTCCTCCCGAGTCCTGCCAGTGCGAGCACCTCAGTGCCGCCCGCCTGACCACCCAACACCAGCTCCTCACACAGCCACTGCCTCGGTCCCATGCCAAAAACATGCCCATCAGGCTCTGTCTCAAAAAACCCCCGAAAACCATCACTCTCTGGAAGCAGGAGCTGGGATGACAGGCGGACCCAGGGCCAGGCTGTTCACGGCTGAGAGGCAGCAGGTGCGAGTCGGGCAGCCCCAGCCCCTCCACCCCCCAGAAGGGCTTCAGGTCGGCTGTGCCAGCGCACCCACTCCAGCACGCTCTCTGACCGACTATCGAGCACAGGGCACTGCTCCCCATCAGCCGGGTGCCTCTCTGCTGGGACAGGGGCGTGGCGACACTGAGCAACAGGAAGTGGCCTGGGCTGGGCAACTCGGCCCAGCAGGAAGGACCGGGCATCCCTGGTACCCCCTAGGACCCACAGGAGCTCGGCTGCATGCGGGGGGAAGGGGCTGGGGCACCAGCGCACACATCTGAGCAGTCCTGGGGCCACCCACGGCACTCACCTCAGGTAGCGGCGAATGGGCTCACAAGCCACCTCTAGGATGACCATGGAGGGGTCCAGCACACGCAGCGCCTTGATGGCGGAGATATAGAGGGTGATGATGTCGCATGTGTTGACGCCTGCAGTCAAGAGAGAAGGCTGGCGGTGATGGCAGCGCTCAGGACAACACAGAGACACCGAGGCACCACAGGCTGGCCATGTGGTCTTGGGGTCACCACTGTGGCCTCACTCCCCAGGACACCAGTATGACCTGCAGGGAGCTGCCCCCTTGCTCCTACCGCCTGCTCACGCGCACTTTCTCCACAGCGTCCCCCTCCATGTGGGTTGTGTACCACCCCAGCCCCAGGCCAGACCCATCAGTTCCGACAACTCAGGGCAAAGGAGACGGAAGCAGAAGCCCCCAGCCCTGTAAGGACCGCACAGAAACGCTTCTTAACCCCCTCCCCAGGCCGTGGCTCCTGGCCCTGGGCCCTGAGGGTGGACGGCGGTCAGCCGCAGACCTGGGTGGAGAAGCCGCGTCTCCAGGGCAGCCTTGAGAGATACAAGCAGCTGCTGCCGCTGGTCAGTCCTCTCCAGGCAGTACTTGAGGTCCTCGACAGCTGGCCGGGAGTCCGGGAAGTCTGCAGGAAGAGGGCCAGCCTCTCACACGCAGTGCACACACGTTGCGTGCAAGGGAGCTTATAGGTGGCGGGGCCTGGGGGGTGAGCACTGTCGCCCTCAGGCCTTCACGCGCCCACACTGGACCACAAGCACTCTATGGGGCACACAAGCCATCTGGAGTAGGGACATGAGACCACCCGGGGCCCCCACAGCTGCCCTGGTTGGGGGCGGAGGGGGCAACTCTGCTCCAGGCAGCGGGGCCAACCTCGGATGACACTGAAGAGCTCCTCGATTCGCAGCCCAGCATACACGCGGTAGAAGAACTTCTGCACGTGGCAACGCCAGCGACGCAGCGTGCTGCCAGCCTCAGGGGACGCGGGCCTGGCGGGGCCATCCTGCAGGAACACCTTGCCCAGCCATCCGACCACCCTCTCGATCCACTGTGGAAGAGCACAGGAGTGGCAGGTGGGGCTGAGCCCAGTCTGACCCAGAGCAGAGGCTGGGCGAGGCGGCACAGCTACAACCCTGCTACCGGGCCCTGGGGGAGTCCCCAAGGCCACCTGCTCTGGAAGCCAGAAACACATCAGCAGGATGAAGGTCAAAGGGGGTGTCGCAGGCCCTCCACCAGTGCCCCCCACGCCCTTCCATGTGTGACAGTGGCTCTGATGTAGGGCACGGAACATGTTCTCACCTCCCCTCCCCAGGACAGACACACCCTGAGGACTGCATACACAACCAGCCCCCACAGGCAGACAATGCAGCGTCCAGCAAGAACACTTCTGAGCACGTGCATGCACGTCTACAAGACATACCGCCACGCGCTCTCAGGAATGCACACGTCCCCACCACAGACCGTCCAACCACCAAGAAGACCACCCAACAGTCTGCAGCCTGAGGGCAACACGGCTACCCCCACCAGGCCTCCAGGCCCATGCCCACTCCAGACCACTGCTGTGGAACAGCTCTGCACCCCCATGGCGGCTAATCTACACCCTCAGGAGGAAGACACCGGGAAGCGGAGGGGGAGGACAGGTGGGATGTGTGAGCAGGCTGGTCGGCACTGCAGTGCCTCTGGGGAGCTTCTCCGTGACTCTGGGGAGCCCAGAACAGAGCCCCAGACCACGCCCCAACGTGGGCGCTGAGGCCCATTCACTGCCACATGCCAGACCCTGGCACTGCCTCCAGCCACGTGACTCCACACAGGCCTTGCTGAGCACGTCGCAGGCTCTTCCTGGCTGTCCGGGGGAAAAGGCCTATAGGCACCAGGGTCCACCCAGCAGTAAGAAAGCTTCAACCACCCGTGAGGTCCTGGTTCATCCAGCCTCCACATTCTGGCTACTTCTAAAGCCAGGGTGTCAGGTTTTCCAGAAACCTATTCCCCAGTCTTCAGGGGACACAGCCTGAGAGGGGTCGTGCTCACCTTGTGGAACTCACGCAGGAAGGAGCGCTCGTACTCGCCCCGGCAGCGGTCCTCCATCCGCTCCCGGGTCACCTGGTGCAGGGTGGTGGTCACGGCCTCAGCACTGACCCGCTCCAGCAGACTGAGCCTGTGTCTGGAGGAGAGCCCTGCCCGTGGCGCATGCAGAGCGCACGGGCTGCACACACCCCGTCCCCACACCCAGCACACACCTCCCACAGCCCTCCTGGTGGTCGCCAATGGTACCCAGGACTTTGAGGAAGAGCTGCTGGGAGGACAGAGAACTGGCAAGGCCCTGCCCACCCCCCCCAACCCCCAGCTGGCCTCTCTGCCTGGGCTGGGAAACTGGCCTTCCCCATGTGAGCAACACGTGTGACAATCAGGGGCCAGTCTCATCTCCCAGAAATGGCTCGGAAACAACAGCTACACACACAATGACACCTGGCCACATGTGTACATGTGCCACAGTTGGCGCCACTCAATGCAGACCCTGGCCTACAATGGCAAAGGAACTCGAGATAGGAGATGTGAAAGAATGCCTGTGAGTGACTTTCGTCTGGGGCAAACCCAGCAGAAGGTGTTCAGGGACTACCAGCAACAGAACCACTGCCTAGGTCCAGGTACAAGACCCTCTCCCTAACAGTAGCACTGCTGCCACTTTACTCAACGTGATAAAACTGTCAATAGTGGCCACAGACGGTGGAAGGCCAATACAACAGGGCCTGGCTCTCAGGACAGAATCCTTTCCTCTTCCAAGGGCTGGAGAGGTGTCTGCTGACCCAACTAGTTCTAGAGAGAAGAAATAACAAGCCCACCTTCTGCGATTACAGGGTAGGGTGAGCATCACTGCTCCCCTAGAGCCTACAAGAGGAACAGCTGAATTCTGCATGGCCCGGGAAACTTACAATCACACAGGATCTTAGTGCAAGCAAAGTAGGAAACCTTGGGCTGGGGTGAGTGACAGAGAGACATGCCTGTGGTTCAGGACAAAAGGTGTTAAGCTCACAGCACAGGCTCCTGGGGACCTTCCCTGTCACATCCATGGTGATCAGGAGAGGCAGCAGGGACCCCAGCCAGCTCACCAGCTCTCTGCAGAGGCCAGTGGGGCCCAGGGGAGCAAGCGGAGGTCAGAGGAACGGGCGCGAGTACTCACAGGACCTGGCTGAGCTGATGGAACTGCTCCAGTGCCTGGCGGCACCAGCACTGCTGCTTGTCACTGCCACACCCCGCACACACCGGGCTCTGCAGAAGCCGGTAGTACCGGCGGCGGGCATACCTGCTGTCCAAGTCCCCCTCCAGTTCCGGGTCTGTGCCCCCTTCCCCTTTCCTCTTACTCTGCAAGTAGACTCTCAAGAAACGCCCGTAGAGGCGCTGGACCATCTCCTGAAAGCTTCTCGGGGTGGAGAAGAACAGCACGCCCCGCAACGTGGTGTGGACCTTTTCCCGCAGCCCCTGGGCACCGGCGCCCATCAGCAAGCCCAGGCGAGTCCATTTCTCCAGGAGCTCCAGGCTACGCAGGTAGGGGTCCAGGCGGCTCTCCAGCAGGCCGAAAGCGTCAAGGAGCAGCAGGAGGCACTGGGGCTCGTCGGCACAGTTCTCCCGCTGAGAGACGGCATTCCAGAACTCGAGGGAGATGTTGGCCTGCAAGTCGTTCTGCAGCACCTCCACGAACCACTCCTCCAGGACCGAGTGCAGGCCGTGGCTCCTCAGCACCTCCACCGCCGCCCGCAGCTCCTCTTCCTTGGGCGGGACCGCACCGCTGGTCCGGGAGGACGCCTGGAGTGCAGAAAACCGTGAGGAGCAGAGAACACAGCGTAGAGGTGGCAGAAGTGGGGAAGGGACAGAGCGCAGGGGACGCTGCGGAAACTCCGCCGCCTCTGGTCCGCGGCGCACGGATGCTGGGTCGAGGGTGCACACCCTCATAAAGCGCGCCGGGTCCTGGGAACGCCGCGCAGGCCCGCCGCCCTCCTCCCGGGCCTCACCAGTCCCAGCGCGGCCGGCGGCACCAGCCCGGTGCTCACGGTATTCCAGGCTACCAGCAGCTGCTGTGTCAGCCCGGGGGACTCCGCCGCCGCCATCAGCGCCCACCAGCAACCAGAGCCGCTCGGCGCCGCGCGCGGCGATGACGCATAGCTGGACTCGCGCGCGCGCAGCGATGAGGCGGACGAGAGGCGCGCGGCGGTGACGCACTCGGTGGGCGCGCTGTTGCGAGGCAGTGCGCAGGCGCGGGCCGAAGTGCAGTAGCGGCGGTTGGAGTGGCTGGGGACCATGACCCAACAGGGCGCGGCGATGCAGAACTACAACAACGAGCTGGTCAAGTGTGAGCTGCCGGGCAGGCGGGGTGGGCGTGGGGCTCGCCGGCTTGCAGACCCAGGCAGTAGCTGGCCCGCAGCGCACGGCCGGGTTTGTTGTACTGCAGGTACGAGGGTGGCCCGGCCGCGACGGCGCGGGGGCCGTTCGGACCTGCCCAGCGCACAGCCGCGGTGTGGCGCGCACCAGGTGCCAGATATCTGTGGAGTAAGGAATCGCTTGAGCACGCACTGCCTCCAGGCCCAGCGCCCGGTGGTCTCACGTGGTGCCACCTTTAACCCTGAGACCCCTGGGAGGTAAGATGCTGGCCTGGCTCCCGTGGCAGGTGGCTCGGCTGGCACCTGGGCCCTCCACGGCCTTTCTGTTCTACAAAGCACCGGGATTTAGAGTAGGTGGAATGGTGCTCTCCTTCCTGCCCTCTGCCCACAGCCCGACCCCTGTCCTCCCACCCTAGGCATTGAGGAGCTGTGCCAGAAGCGGGAGGAGTTGAGTCGGCAGATCCAGCAGGAAGAGGATGAGAAGCAGCGGCTGCAGAATGAGGTGAGGCAGCTGACTGAGAAACTGGCCCGCGTCAATGAGAACCTGGCACGCAAGATCGCCTCTAGAAACGAATTTGATCAGACCATCGCGGAGACCGAGGCTGCCTACCTCAAGGTGAGGCTTGGGGCAGCTCAGGGACCTGCGTGACAGGCGAGTTCCCCAGCGGGTTCTGGCCTGGAGTGCCCACAAACAGAAGTGACAGGACTGTGGCATGGCCAGGCCCACCATGGAGTGACCTGGTGTGTCCCCGGTGGTTCCTCGCACCATACTCAGTACTCATTCTGTAACTTCTTCCGGACTGAGCAGCGGAGCCCCAGCAGTAGGGGCCAGAGTTAACCTGCCTTTCCAGGGTGCGAGGAAGGGGCTTTGGGCTAGACTCAGGGAAGAGAGGGCCTGCTGACCCTGTCTGCCTGTTCTCTCGGGCTTCCTCTCGGCTGGGAGAGCTTCCGGCCGGAGGAACAATGACAGCCATTTCACGTCTCTGTTCCCAGATCCTGGAGAGCTCGCAGACTCTACTTAATGTCCTGAAGAAGGAAACTGGAAACCTGAGCAAGGCCACCGCCTCAGAGCAGAAGGGCAGCGGAGGCAAGGACAGCTGACAAGGCCCCAGGAGGGGAGGCGTACCTCCACTGCGCCCACCGACGGCTTGGCCCCCAGCAGGCCTGTCTTCAAAGCATCTTTGTCCTTCACAACAGCAGCTGCCTTCTCTTACTGTCTTGGGTGCCGGGAGAGGCAGCTGCCAATCTCCACTGCCCTTGGGCACAGCCCACCAGGTGGGGCTCCTAGCCATGCACTCACTCAGGCATCTAGGAGGGCGGGCCCTGGGTCAGCTCCACGTGGGGCTGCTCTGAAACCCCCACACCTCCCCAGGCTGTGGGAAGGCCCTGCTTCTAGTCTCAGCATCATGGGAGTCTCCTCATGTTTTCCCTCTGCCAGCGGGTGCCCAGGCTAGGCAAGTGGGGGGCGGGGGGTGGTGGCTGGGGCCCTCCTTCACCTCGGGGCTCTCTCTAGTGGCCTGTGACTGTCAGTAAAGGTTGTCTTTGTAAAGGTCCATGCCAGTCTGCTGCCCATGTCCTGTCAGGAGAGTGGGGCTGCCCGATAGGCCCAGAACACAAGCTCCCCCCAGCTGAGGTGTGGCTCCTGGGGCGGCAGGGGCCCAGTGGCCTGGGAACAGAGCTGAGGGTGCCCTGGGCATCTGTTGATCCTCACCACCCACCCTCTGTCCTGGTCCCTGGCCCTGACTCTAGGACAAGCAGCCCGTCCTTTGCTGAGGGGCTCTGCCCGCTGGTCCTGGTCTCTGCCACCCCCTGGTGTCCAGCACAAGGTGTGGCCTAGGGAGCTGTCCTTCCTGGGCTCAGGTCCCCCAGCAAAGGCTGTGCCCCAGCTCCACGATTCCAAGTTCTCAGCCTGAAGGCAGTACTGCCACCCCCTGGCCACACGTGAGGCAGGCCCGCCTGCAGCTTTCCAGGTGGCCTGGGGCCCCCCTTCCATCCTGAGTCCTGTCTGGGTCCTTCTCTGCTGGTCTGTCAGTCCCTGTGGGGTCCCTGTGGCTGCCTGCCCTCCCAGGAAAACACCAAAGACCCTTCCCCCCTCCCCAGCCGGGCTCCCCAGGAGGGACCTCACATTCCACATCTGGGCTGCAAATGGCACCAGCTTCAGGCTGGCAACTGGGCAGGCAGCAGAGCAGAACTCACAGGCTCCCGTGGTTCAGGGAGTTGTCCAGGCCAAAGAGGAGACAAGGTCCCCGAGGCTCTGCCCCCACCCCCCACCTGTGTGTAGTCCCTGCCTAGGCTCTTAGCTCTTCAGACAACAGCAGCAGCATTGACTGCCCCAGGGCGGCGTTCCAGACCCCAGAGCTGGCTCAGTCCCACCTCCCACCGCAGCTCCCCCAGGTGCCAGCCCTGGGTGGGAGGGGACTGCACCAGTGGCTGGGAGCACTTACGGGAAGGTCCCTGTGCTGGGCAAGGGAGTGTGGGGAGTAACAACCTGGACCAGCAGTACTGGGGGGGGGGGCGCACCTCCCATACCCCAGGCACAGACGTCCACTGCCAGCCCCTCACTGGAGCCCCACAGACCCTAACCCCCGTACCCCCCTTCCTAAGCTGAGGACCACACAAGGAGGCAGGCTTGTCCAGTGCTGTTTATTAGTCCACCATCAGGCAAAAGACTTCCATTCATCACAAAGGGGGCAGGCCGAGCTCAACCATGGGGGGTGGTTGGGGGGGGTCTTGTCCTGCAGAACAGGCAGCAAGCCCATCCTCCACCAGGACACACCCAACAGCTGCTGAGCATGGTGTCCAGCAGCACCCTGACCCTCTTCCACAGGCACTGCCCCCAAACTAGGGCGGAGAGGGAGACCCAGATGGACCCGGGAAGGGGGGGTGGGTTATGGGGGCAGAGCCTGGCAGGGCAGAAGAGGGGTACAGAAGGAGGGCAGAGCTTGGCTGTCCTGGCAGGGCTGGAGTCAGAAATAGAGGGCTGGTTCGCTTCGGAAGTCTGAGAGGTCGCTGTGACTGGCAGGGGTGAGCTGGGAAGCAGGAAGGCAGCCAATGGGAGCTTGCCCAGGCATTAGAGACCCGCCTCCTCCCTTCGCCCGGCTCCCCACTCACCATGACATCCTTCTGCGTGGGTTCCACCTCACTTGGGGCCTGCTCCAGCGTCTGCTCCTGCCACTTGCTGAAGGCCACGGAGTGTTTGGGGGTGTAGCTGGACAGGCCTGCGGACCCAGGGGCACACGTGTGGACACGTGGGTGCATGGACAAGTGGCCCAGGCTACCCACTGGGCTGCCCACCAGGACAGGGGACACTCACCTGAGCTGCCGTCTGGCAGCCGAGGGCTCTCAGGCGCCACGCTGTTCACGAATGTGGCTCGGGGCAGGAAGAGCACGAAGGGCTTCTCCACTGCCCCGTTCAGCCCAGGCCCCTCCGCTTCCGCTTCCTCTTCCTCCCCTGCCTCCCCCTCGGCCTGGGTCTCAGCCTCCTGCACCAGGGAGCTCTCCGAAGGGTACTCGAACGTGGTGTGCAGGCTCTTGTCATTGAAGGAGATCTTCATCTACGGACAGAAGCACATCAGCCAGGGCCCTGCTGCCCCGCCACCAGGGTCCTCGGGCCAGACCAAGTGTGGCACGGCAGCGAGGAGACCTTCAGAGGCTCCAAGAGAACACCCACCACCTGGACCCTGCAGGCCCAGGCCACGACGACTGCAGGACAGCTGGGTCTGGCTGCCCACAGCGCTGCAGGCCTGGGGTCACATCACCCTAAAGTGACCCACCACTCCCAGGGACCAGGCCCCAGCCAGCACCCTCGGGGTCTCCAGAAGCCTCTAAGGCAGCTCAAAGGGTCAGAGGGCTGCCTGCCTGCCTTCTCAGGGAGCAGGGACCAGCCACGCCTCCTCCCCAGGGTGGCTCGAACCAGGAGCAGAGTCCAGGTAAGGCTGCGCCAGGGGCCACATCCTCTGCTCCTAGCAGCTCCTGCTGTCAGCTGGGCCTCTCTCCAGAGCCAAGTTCATGTCCCAGCTTGCTGGGCACCTGGACAGTCCTGCTCACCCAACTCAGCACAGACCACCACTGCTGGGCAAGGGCCTGCAGGAGGTGCCGAAGCCAGGTGGTGGTCACAGGCTGCTACCAGGAGAGCAGCACCAAGTTCTGTCACCTCATTCAACAGACGGTCAGAGCTAGCCTATAGCTGTACCAAGTGGGGGGTCAGTGACCTTCCCCTCCCACCTGGGCTGCCCACTCGGCAGCTTCCAAAATCTCATGTCCGAGCCATAAGCCCCAGGCCCGCTCGGCAGCGCTCAGCACTGGGTAATGAATACGAGCACGACCCGCCTGCAGCAGATGGAAGCAGCCCTGCTGGGCTCGAAATATTAAACTCCTGGGCACAGGACACCAGCGGCGGCTCAAGTTCCTCCTCCTCCCCCGGAAGGAGCTGGAGCAGGAGCCGGGCCCCAGGAACAGCAGGACAGGGAGGGGCCTTGTGGGAGGTGGGGCAGCAGAGGGACCTGGCCTTGGCCTCAGGAACACAAGTAGGACCCACTAGGAGCAGGGGCCACTGTCCAGAAACAAGGGCACACACTCCTGCTACTCAGCACTCCCTCCTGTGCCCACAGCCCTGGGCAGCCCACCTCAGCACGGCTCACACACCTGCTGGGCACATTGCAGGCCCCGTCCCAGGGCCCTCTGCCCCAGCTGCCTACAGACAAGTGGCCAGGGACAGGAGCAGACCCTCTGAGCCAGGCAGAACCGGGAGCACGATATCTGTTCCTGTCATTCGGAGGCACACGGTCCCTCACCCTGCTCTGCCCCAGGTAGGCCCCACCATGGGAGGCCAAGCAGGACAGAGGCCTGGCACAGGGGCGATCGCCAGAGCCACAGGTGCCCATCCACCGCCACTCAGTTCCTAGCCCTCCAAGACGAGCCCTCTGGGACTCAGAATAGGAGCCCTAAGAGGAGCCCAAGGCAGGATGGAGCGGCCAACCCAGGGGCCTCCCCTGCCCCAAGGCCACACTGAATGGGGTTCCCGGTCACCCCTGGGTACATGGCATGTTCCCTGATGACCCTCGGCCCTCTAGGCCTATCCCCCACCACTGGAGATGAGGAAGGGGTAGCCGCCCCAGGGCGGCCGGATTAGCATGTCCTCATCAGCCCACATGACCAGCTCCTTGTGAAGAGACCGAGGGGGCTGGGTGCATGCGGGTGCTGAGCCTGGCACAGCCTGGCTAGGCGGGGGCGGGGCAGCGCTCCTAGGCCCTGCCTGTACCCAGCTGGGGCCCGGGCTCGGGTCCTGTGCCACCTCCCCTCGTCTCCACGCTCAACAGCCTCCCCCTTGTGGGTGCATGTCTGCGGTCATAGGCTGCCCTGTGACTCATGCTGCTGGGGAGGCCAGGGAAGGTGGGAGGGGCATGTGGGGCTGGCACTTGCACACACCTAGTCACCTGGTTCTGAGGACTTTGCCCGCTGCTCAGGACACAGCCAGCAGGTGGGTCCTGGCTCAGCCCACCTCCGGCTCTAGCAGGCCCTTTGTTCCCCTCACCCCACCCACCTGTGCATGTCTGTCCTGGACTCTGAGCCTGACAGGGCTCAACCCATCCTAGCTGGGGGTGAGCCCCTCACTCCCCAGCACACACCTACCTGCTCCCATCCCCCACCCTGCCCAAGCTCGGGACCACCCCACAGCGCCCCCACCTAAGTTACCACAGCTGCCCAGGTGGGCCGTGCCGTCTAGTGCAGCCCCTAGCCCACGGCAGCCCCTCTGGTGGCAGGAAAGCTGAGCGAGCAGGGTCCGGGCCTGCTCCCATGGTCTCTGGGCTCTAGAAAGACCACTTGGGGAGGTGCCTGCTGGGAGAGTTGGGGGAATGGGGAGAGCAAATGCAGCCACAACACTGCCAGGCGCCTGGTCTCCCGATCCACACAGGGCGAGGTGGCATCACAGGCCCCGGAGGGCCGCAGCGGTGCCGGCAAGTTGGGCTGTAGAGGTGGCGATCACACCGAGGGTGAGGTGAGGGCGGATGGCCGAGTGTTGAGGATTGAGCCCTGGGGACCCTGACACACTCGGGCTGGGCAGAGGAGCAGCCGTAAGCAGGTGAGAAGAGCAAAGGGGAGGCAAGAAGCCACCAGACAGGCAGGAGCCTGGCAGGGTGGCACCTTACAAAGGGAGGCCCACAGCGCCAACCCCATGGGAGACAGGTGTGGAGCGCTGCTGGACAGCCCCACCCACCAGAACAGCCTGGAGGCCGGGCAGGGGCGAGAGGGACAGTGGCCGCACCACCCTGCAGCAGCCAGCCCCGGCTTGGCCATCAAGGGAGGGTGTGATAGAGCATCTGTGATTCTGCAGAGAGATAACTAAGTGGGGACGTGTGCTGCCAGGCAGGCCTCCCTCTGCACAGGCTGGCTGGGTGCCCCCACCACCCAGGGCAGGGCTGTAGCTCTCCAAGGCTACACGAGGGCAAAACACTGTTGCTGAGGTGCCAGCCCAGGGGCAGGATCCTCTGACTCCTGCTGCCCAGAGAGCCCCCTGCAGAGCCCCACTACAGCTTCCCCTGGTAAAGGTGCCAACGCCTCCCTCCCTCCACTGCCCTCGGTCAGCCAGCCATGCGCGGGTCAAAGTGAATAGTCGGGCCCAAGATCCTGCTGCCCTCCAGCCCACCACGTCCCCGGCAGGGGGTGGGAGGGAGGACAGTGATCAAATCACAGGGTGGCTGAAGTGGTCCAGCTGAGGGGGAGGCCCAGCGGCCCAAGGTCTGCAGGGGCAGCGGGGGGAGCACCAGGGGCCATGGACAGAAGAGACAATGTGGCAGCCCACGGCTGGCAGGCTGCTCTGAAGGGCTGGGCAGGCCAGCTGGTGCCTGCCCAGGCAGGAAGTCACTGCCAGCAGGTCGTGCTGCTCGGGCAGGGCCCTCGCCAGGCCACTTGGTCCTGCCAGGCATCCATCTGGACCCACAACCCCCTCAGGCTGGCACGGAGACCAGGCCCAAGCTGGTCGAGCCCCTCTCCACTCTAGGCCTGGTTGGCTTCCTCCCATCACTGCATCGTGCCCTGCTGGTCCTCGGGCCCCCTGCCCAGCCCTTCTCACCCCAACCCAGCCACGAGTCACCCCCACAGCTCTGTCCCCAGCTGGGGGTGGGATGGCCAGGCTCCCAGGGAGGGCAGCCAGGTTACCAGTGGCTCTAGGAACAGGAACCGCCCCGTGAGCTCCATGACCTCTGCCAGCCTCATTTTCCTCATCTGCAGAGCAGGGAACCCTTAGTTATCACCTCCATTTCCCCAGCCAGCATGGGAAGGAGCGCCTCCCAGTGCAGCTGGGGTCAAGGGTCAGAAAACGGGAAGGAGGGCTGCAAGGATGGGGTAGGGCTGGTGGCCAGAGCCGCTGGATGGACCGTTGCCTTGGAGGGGAAGGACAGGGATGAGGGTGGGAGAGTCATGGCCCATGGCACCGAAGAAAAAAGGTGAGGCAAAGTCAGGCACGAAGTCCGGGTGGAGGGCCCACCGGAAGCACTGTGGGACGTGGGCGCGGAGGCCTGGCCCAGCAGTGGGAGCTGGCAGGAATGCAGATGACCTCACCCAAGGAAGGAGGGAAGGATGACACTGGGAGGAGAGGCCGTGCTAAGGCCAGCCCAGCAGCAAGAAAACGAAAGAAAGGAAGCAAATAAAGGAAGCAGGTGGCATATCCCAGCAGGGCAGGCAAATCACCACCCCCAATCACCCAAACTGAGACTAGGGGCAGACAGGTGGCCTCAGAGGTGAGCCTAGATACCAGCAGTTAAAGGAGAGGCCCTCCAGTGCCACCTCACTGCCCCTGCCTGCTGATGGGGGTCACAGTGAGCTGTCCTTGGAATTTGCTCCATAGCCAGACACACGCAAATGACCAGAAAGAAGCTGAGGAACCAGGAAGAAGCTGAGGAACGTTTTCTTGTGCCCAGAGGGTTCCAGGTCACCAGGCAGGGCAGGGCTGCCGGGAAGTGACGCTCCTGGCCCTGCACCTGGGTCTGTCTCTGCCCTAGTCCCTCCCCACCAACAAGGGGGATGTCTTCACCTTTTGCCAGCATCACAACTCAACTCAGACTAATCCCGGAACACACTAGGAGCTCAAGGAACACTCGCAAAAGACCAGATCCTGCTGAGCTCCAGGCCAGCTTGCCTTCTGGGGAGCTGACAAGCCCCTCCGAATGGCCCCCGCGGCTGTGCCCCTAGGCTGACAGCGAGCTAGGGATCCAGCCACACCTGAATCACGGGCCTCCTGCCCCTTCCCACTTCCGTCCTGGCACCTGCTACCTGAACAGGCCAGGACTCCAGGAGACCATGCCAGGACTCCCCGCTCCTTCACAGCCAGGCCAGGGTAGAACCACCAGGCCCAAACTTTCTCTCAGCTGGACCTGCAGAATTGGCCTGCCCTGCCAATTCCACACAGCCTAAGAATCCACGGACAGGCACGGCGCAGGCCGCTGGCTGGCTTCACCCTCCACACCAGCCCTGTGAGGCAGAGCAGGCACTGTCCCCATAGCTCCTGGGTTATTAGGGCTCTACTGGCCACAGGCCAGGGGAATCCCCGGCTCAGCCCCTCCTGAAGCTTCCATGGCCACCTACCCCTGGCTCTCCTTTGGTCCACTTAGCAGTCCCCAACCCAGGCCAGGTGCTACATCCTGGCACACGCTATATCCACAGGTGGTCAGCGTCCCTGCCCCCACCACTGACCTTCTTTCTCGAGGAGCCAGCCTTAGTGAGGCAGGACTTCTGCAAGGCCAGGTAGCCGCCAATCACCTCGATCTCATGCACAGTGGGGTAGCGCTTCTTCAGTGGGGTCCCCAGAACAGCAGGGGGCTCCAAGACGCTGCCCACCTCCACTTCCTCAGCCGCCTGTGGCCCAGGCTCCCCATTGGCCTGCAGGACCCCTGGCTTCCTCTTGGGCACCACTGTGAAGGTATTGCTGCCCCGGTGCTGCAGCTCTGATGGGTGGTACCGGGAAGGTGTGCCAGGCCCCATACAGGGCAGTTTGGCTTCTTGGGGGACCTCGTCCTCAGAGTCCACCTCATCGATGAAGGTGACGGGCAGCCCTGACCTCCCAGCCTCACCACCATTCTTGGCCAAGCCGGGAACCTCAAAGCCCTGGGCAGGCTCGGCTTCGGTGGCGGCTGGCAGGGATGGGGGTGGCGAGAATGGCCTCTGCCACCTAACAGCCCGGTCCACGAGAGCAGTGGCTGGCCTTGACCAGACCCCCTCCTCGACCCCCAAGGGGCTTCTCCCACTGACAGGCGCACCATCCGCTCCAGGCACCAGCTGGGCTCCACGCTTCCGGTGCTCAGAGGCCCAGACAACCTCTCCCTCTGGCAGCCCCACCGACTGCCTCCCTTGGGGAGGAGGGGCCCCAGAAGCCTTGCGCTTGGGGATGAACAGGAAGGAGTTTCGGGAGTTCACACGTAGGCTGGCCAGGGCCCTGGCCTGCAGGTCCCCCTCAGGGATCGTGTCCATGTCTGGCTTGGAGGCCGGCCGTATCTCGAAGGAATCGTTGGCGCTGGTGGCCGCGGAGACCCACTGGCGCTGGCTGGGAGTGGCACTGGCAGGGCTGGGCATGGGCAGGGCTGAGGACGCGGCTGGAGTGGCACTGGGGGTCCCGGGGCTGTGGGACGGGTGGGCGGAGGGCTCCCCCGACTCCACCTTTGGCTTCCACTCGCCCGACCCAGGCGCGGAGCCCGCGATGCCGTTGGCAGCGCCGGCCCGGGGCTCCGGGGCCGCGGGCCCGTTGGAGAGTAGTCGAGCGCCCGCACCGCGGTGCAGGCCCCGGGGGTGGACGGTGAAGGAGTTACTGCCGGTCTTCTGGAGGAAGTCGCTGCGCCGGGCTCCGGGGCCGGCGCCGCGGCGCTCGGGCTCGAAGCAAGCGGCGCGCTCGCCTACACGAGGAGCGGCCGGGCCGGGGGCGGGCGGCGCTGGCGGCGGAGGGCGGCC